CCCCGCTCTCCCCAGGGGCCGGAGCGCCGCGCCGCCCCCCTCCAGGTGCCGCCCCAAGCACAAGCTTGGTGGGCTGGTGCCTGGAGCCGGCCCTAGGGAGGGGGCACATAATACACTATGAAAATTTTTGTAGCAGATCCACTCCAAAGACAAAATGCCTTGAGCCACCACAACACTCCATTAAAACAGCGATGGTATCTATATCACAAAACAGGAGCTGTCTACATGCTGTTTATGCACTGATTTCACAAAGCCTGTGGGACCACTGGCCATTTATTAAATGGGTGCAATTCCCTAGTAGGGGCACAATTTAAGTGTGTCTGAAATCAGTTCAGTTTAAGGCTATTACAAACCAACTTAAACTAAACTGATTTAATACAATCAAACCAGTTTGAGGGTCCACACTGGGGGGATGGGGTGGTTGCACTGATTTAACTAAATTGGTTTAAAAAATATCCCCCCTTTAGTTAACCGGGCACAAATTTGTGTGCAGACCAGGCCTACCTCTTAGTATCTTACAGAACTAAAAAACAACAGAAAAGGAACCTTTATTGGCTAAATAACTTCAAAGAATTCTTTTTTAATCCTAAGAGAATCTTACCCAGTATATTATCTGATCCATTGATGGGTGGAGTATGTGAGGCAGCGACATAAGGTGAACTACTGGCACTGCTGCGATGGAAGCTAGACATTGGAGGAAGACTGGCATTTATATCTGTAGGCGAGACTGCATGTGCGGGATAGCTCTAGAAAGAAGCAAAACAAATAAGAGCCAATTAAGCAGAATCTTTAAATACATTTATATACCTTGTTAAGACACCTTTATCTAAGAAAGGGACTTTGTCCATCAGCCAAACAACCCATTACATTACCAAAAATCATTTAAAAATTATACACAAACAAGAGGCAACAAAATCAATATGCCACAATTATGAATTCTGACAATCTAATTTTGAATTGACACTACTAGAAGATCAGACGGGAAATGAAACAGATCAGTCTCCAGAAATATATTTACATATGCAATTGCATTAGCCTATATAACTTACCAAGCGGTCATGTGTGTGTAGACTGCCATAACTGCTGGACTGTGACATGTGAGAAGAGGAGCTTCCCAGCATTCCACCATAACCAGGCTGGCTCATCCCATTGGATGAATTCCAAAGATCAGAAGAGTTGTGGGTCCCATCTATGTTTTTTTAACAAAAGAAAAGAAAGAGATCTCTCTAATACAAGAAGTGTACTGAGTTCTCCTTTCCTTTACATTATTTAAAAAAATACATAATTCACCAACTCAATTAGCCTAATATCAGTACTGAAATAGGGGATAGCTAATACGGTGTCTCCCATTCTCCTGCCACCACACTGTGTTGCTATATTTAAAAAAAATGAGGCTTTATAGCTGAAATACAATCCAGCCACAGCTGAGAAAATACCAAGTACTCTGCTAATTACAAAGACCTTCAGTAAGGCCAGATTTATATCAAGAGGGATGATAAAAATTCCAGACTGCAAAAAAACTTGATGCTTGGCTAAATAATGCTCACCATAAATATACAGTGGAAAAGATTTCTCAATCCATAATAGGCAATTTATATTTGCTAAAACATTCTAATACTATAAAATAAATAAGGTTCCATAATAGCAGACTTAAATAACTGATAATTACTACATTATATAAGCCTCAAACCAAAGTGTGTCAGCACTGTTTTTCCTCAGCAATAAAGACTGCAATGACATTGTACACTTTAGTACTCAAAGATGATGTTTACGGTATATTTCAAAACCTCATCTAACCAAAGTAAAAGCTAGTTATGTGACATGAAGTTGAGGAAACGTGGTCTCAATCTCATGAATTCTGGTCCCTGTTTTTGTGCAATTCAAAGTCATCTGTATTTTTGGCACGGTGGAGACATAAGCATTCACTGAGAACCCAGATTATTAACAGATATTGTACAGCCAAACTCCAGAATGACCAAGAAGCCCTCACCTCATTTTCTGCTATCATTCTGGTGTGTTGTTCTGAAGGCCCTACAAATCAGAGAATGGGGAATTCTGTCCATCTGGCCTGCTGGATAATCCCCTTAAATTACAGTCAGCAATTAATGTCACAAAGAAACCTTTAAATCAAAGGATAGCTCCCTTCAGCTAACAGTTTGTAGAAGTATACAAAATTCCATGCTACGACCCACCACAATACATTCCCTGGAAATGTATTTATTATATTATTTGATGCAACACTGGGTTAGCCTCACATTTCCACCTAAAGAACAAATTACAAACATTCCTGTATTTAGAGTTACCGGTACTTTACTTACCTTGCATAAAGAAAGTGCTAGCAAACATACTGCTTGGTGGTTTAGGAGATGGGTAAGTTGGAGATTCTCTATTGAAATCATCAGAGCTTGGGGATGGTGCGTATACCTAAAAATTGAAAAGCAACAAAAAGCATGTATGTAATATTTGGCTGTCACACATAAGAAACAGCATGCTAGTACAGAGATCTAAATTAAAGGGAACAGTGCAGCAAGCCCCAATATTTAATTCATTTGTTGACATTATTTTGTTTTTATCAAGTTGCCAAAGTACTACTGTGATCTTAACACCACGCTTTCTGGTGTGCCAATTCAACCAGGTGGCCTGATAAAAGCTTAAGTGCTGATTCTGCTTACAAAGCACATATCTCACACAGAAACCAAACAGTGGTCCCAAAATAAGCTTCGATTTTAAAATAACTCTATTCTTGTTTACATATTTAACAAGTTGGAATCCCAACAACTCAGGTAAAACATTCATATCCAGTGAAACTGTTGGGAGTTTATTGCACTGCATAATCCAATCAGAAACCTGTCTGCTTTTTTAGAGTTACCGGTGGTAGGAGGTGGGGGGGGGATGAGGGGGGGAGAGAAGTAATGCAAATCTATATCATTTTGAGTGATCTAAAAACTTCAACATCAAATAACCTTTTAAGTCTGGCACAGCTTTTAAAAATCTTGTTTTGATTTGGCAGTGGAGTACCAATTTCTTCTGGTAAGCCCTTGCTTCAGATAAGCTCAGTATGAACATTGCATTGGTAAATAAACAAACTTTCTCATCAAATTGAAAACTATACAGGGGACAAAATAAACCTAACAATCAAATGATTCTAATTACAGCAACTATAAATCAGCAGTGAAATAAATCAGAGAGTATTCAGGTATGGTATGTATAAACAAAATCAATATAGACAATTCATCAATGACTCATAGTATAATGCAGGTTGTGCCAAGGCAGGCAATATCTTTATAATGATAATTTTTCTAAATATTCCAATATGAATGATTTATATTGTTATTATTAATAGTAGTAGTACTGTAGTATCTAGAAGGCTCCAGTCATGGACCAGGAACTGAGGCATAGTGAAAAAACAAAATAAAAAATGTCCTCTTAAAATTATTTTTAGTTGATGAAAAACTGTAGTGCAGACACATGAATGTAGTAAATGGCTACTAAGTACACAGAAATATAACACTTGAGCTAAAATATTTTTGCCACATAATATGTTAAAATAAAAAAGGTTATTTTTTAAAAAAATTCTCAATTTTCTTCTCCCCTTCCCCCCAAAATAAACTAATTGATGTATAGGTTTCAAATGTATTAATTTTAAAAGTCTAAACTTAATAAGTGCATAAGAGATATGCCAAAATTGTAAGGTGCATATTTTTGTGTGTGCATGCATACACCTACGCACACATACATACAATTAGGTCACTCCCCTACCACTGTAACAGGCTGGGTACCCCTCAAGAGAAGACAGACAGACTAAAATGGGCCTATGACTACCACCAACGTCTAGGAAACCTCTATTCTAGTATGCAAGGGTGAATGTTCTGATATGGGAATTTGGGAAGTTAAGTGGGTCACATCTTGTATTTATTTGCATATAAAAACCCAGAATGCTTTTCCAGCCTTCTGTTGTCAGATCAAATGGTTCGGCATGTGTTTGGATAGAGTTGTTGTATGCAATGTGACTGATTCACCATTCCTTTACACAAGTTTGACACCGATGTAACTCCAGTGCAATCAGCTAAACTATACCAGTGTATAAAACTCTGGTATGGAAGTACAGAAGCCACCCTAGGCATCCTCTCTATCAAGAACTTGATCTTGAAGCACGGAAGATAGGGAGGGAGGAATATAGTGGAAACACTTCACAACTTTTAGCATCGCTCTCTGTTTTTTGCATTTATATTTTGCAATCAAACTCAAGATGACATTTTTGTTTGTATGTTTTTTTGTTATTTTGTCAACAAAGTTAGTGTTTCCAAGAGCTTTTGTTCAAATTGATGGCTACTTTTTTTGGGTTACTTCCAAATGTTGAATTCCTGGAAATAAAGAATTTTTTACAATGGAAAGTGCTGACCAAATCTGAGCTACAGCATGACAACATGTTACATACTCTTAACACAGTTTATATATATTTATGGTATATAATAAATATATATACGTATATATACACACACTTCACACATACTCACACAAAAGTGACAAGACTGTCAATTTTTAAATGCTCACCATCATAAGGCTACAAACATATTAGGCAAAACTAGGTGTAATTTACAAGTTGTCTGTTGTGCAAAATAATGCAGCATATGCTATAGCTGATGGATAATCTATCACTGTCACAGGACAGCAGAGGAAACAAAGCTCAATGACATGCAGCACTGACACAGAGATGTGCACTGATTAATGTGAAAAAATCCACCATGACATATTGTACATATTTTCAACTTTGCCAGAGTAATGCTATCAACAAGAGTTGTAATGTGGGCTACAGACTGAAATTTCAATCACTTCTAATAATTTTGACATTTTATAAAACTGTCTAAACAAGCAAGCACCTCAGAAGGAAATTAAGCTGAAAAAATTCAGCTCCAACAAATGCATCATTTATGTTACACATGTACAGGACATTAGCATAATAAAAATGTTCTGAAATATTCCAATGTCAAAGAGGCCCTTTCAAATAGCTACATGAAAGTTCTAGCACAGGCACATAAGTTTATATAGTTTCTATTTGTTTTTGGTATCCTAACTATAGCTTGCAAAAACATAGCTGCAATGTTATGAAGCTGCACTTGTGCCAGTCTAGATTTTTCAGATCAAAGGGCTCTGGCGGCAAAACACAACTGATGTGGTCTCAAAGACTTCATTAACTCCAGATGTGGGGAAATAGTCAGCCAATTCCACAAAAAGAGCAAGTCTCTTTCAGTTACAATCAGACCTACCCACAAATTAAAACCAGGCGTCTTATGTCATCTGATCACCTGCAGATGAATGCCAGTTTTTTTTTTTCTGGTTAATGACCTAATCATAAGTTTTACTCTGTGTTATTACGAACAGAATTTAAAAGTAGAGGGGAAAAAAAAGATTATTGAGATTAGACTACATCTACAAGAAGCAAAATGCAAACTTTTAATTAAAAGTTGACAATAAAGGAAACGTATTTAAATACCCTTTCAAGTTAGGAAAAGATGCATTAGATCATGTAGCTCAAACCTTTTAAACACATTTAATGCTTAGGGCCCTTATCCAGCCTATGTGGCTCTTGGCCCATAACAGCTCTGCAAGCCTCTCATCACACAGTGATGGAATTTACTCCCTAGTTCGAAGGTGTTCTCTTTTGCAGCAGCTGTGTAATGAGGTTTTAAGTATGACCTGGCTGCCCAATATTGTCTCTTTGGGCTATCAAGTGATGGGAATGACATCTGGGAGGAACCAAAATAGTTCTTTCCTGGCTGACATTCTTAGGGAGCCAGGGAATAGTGCTAAAAGACCATCCAGCCCAAAAAATCTGCTTGGCAGACAACTCTGTCAAGCAGGTAGAAGAAAATCCATCCTGCTAAAGGTTTCCCCAAATTCCCCTAAGCACATGGCAATCTGAAGTGATTGAATCGGAGGCAGGAGCAGGAGAGAACTTCAAAGAAAGCACCCATATTAAACTAATGAGGGGTGGGAGAGCTCTTCCAAAACACCCACTCCAGAATCAATTTTTAAATGGTCCACATAGTAGAGGTCTTGCCTCTCTCGACGCTGTACGCAGACTTTACACTTCAATCCTAGGGTTGTAATAATTCCTGCAGGCTGTGTGGCCTGAGCAGGAAGGAAGCGGGACAAGGGAGTTGCAGAGCACAGGTCAAGAGCTCCACTTCCCTCTCCTTCCCCCACCCTGAGCTGTTCCACATTTCTCCAGTCTGAATGCTTGAGTGATTCTGGGTTGGTTTTTTTTAAGCTCTCTTCAGTTTGTTGATGTTGTCCCTCAATAGGGTGTACTGCAAGGCTGCCCAGAGGATTCAGGGGGCCTGGGGCAAAGCAATTTTGAGGGCCCCATCCATAAAAAAAAGTTGCAATACCATAGAATACTATATTCTCGTGGGGACCCCTGTGGGGCCTGGGCAAATTGCCCCACTTGCCCTCCCCCCCTCCCCGGGCATCCCTGGTGTACTGCTGTAGAGCCAGCCTGCTTGGCCTTTCAGAGCTTGGTTAGCTCAGAACAGGATGGACTGTTCCTACTGAGTCAGGTTTAAGCAGCATATCTGCTTTCAAATGTGCAGTTATTCTTAACATATTAAATTGATACTATTATAAAAATCATTTAAAAAGTGTATTAAATCTACAAAGTATCAGGAGATTATATGCCATGTCCTTCGATTTACTAATTTAAAAATTTCCAAATATAAAGGCATTACTTTATCTTAAAAGGTCTGAGTTACTGATTTTGTTTTGTTACTAAAATTAGATCTTCACTCCATAAACATCAATTAAAGCACCAAAAATACCTCATTTGCATGCTTTTCAACTAATTTCCTTCCTATTAACGGGTTTGGTATTTTTATATGTTCATGATTCATACTAAATGTAGATGTAAACAGAAGCAGTGAAGCAAAATATCAAAACCTATTTTAAAGATGCCTCCACTAAATCAGGACCAAATCTACCAACATGCATGCTGTATGTGAAATTATAAATTATATTATTCATTTAAACCTTGTCATTCAGAAAGTTTCATAGGTTACAAAAACTGACATTTCTCAAACTGTTACATACAAATTTCTTTTCTAGGGCAGTAAAAATGGATACCCACATCTACACCTTATGAACTTCACTAACTGACCTTTCCAAATTTCATCAGCACCAGTCATGTATTATATAACTATGCACTGATGAATGATCCGGGGACGTGGCAGACTTTCACAATATATTATTTGTATGTACAGTGGCAAAGGCTTCTGCTGCTGAAAAGGTATTGTGATAAATGGAAACTTATTTTAGTGCTCAGCTCCTTCAGAAACATAGTGAACATAAAAACTGAGGGAATGATGATTGGCAATTATAGTTATTCCATCCTGTATTTATAAGAAGATACAAGTACTCACACTGGCAAC